TGCTGGAGTACTAGGAGCTAATCCAACTTCTGCAATCAACCAATTTGATATGGCAATGTACACCAAAACTGGAGGCAATTATCAGAAATTCAAGAAAAATTTCAATCTATTTTGTGATGTGTGCAAAATGAAGGGACACACTAAAGAAAACAACTACAGAGTTATAGGATATCCTCCAGAATATAGACCAAGAAAAAGGAATACAAACACACATAATGCTTACAATGTGCTATCTGATATGGAGTTACAGGGAAATCAGTCTTCTAGAGGAAATTGGAATGAGAAGTGTGTACAAAACTCTCAATTAACAAATAATGGTGTGAGTGCTAACACTTCCCAAGGCTGTAATCTAATGACAAACACACCTTGGATGGGAAACTGCACCTTCACAAAGGAACAATATGAACACATAGTGCAATTGCTGAACAAAGATCATACAAGTGCAGCATCTACTACAGCAACACCATCAGCTAATGCTGCAGGTATTCCCTGTGCCCTTTTAGCCTCTAAAAGCTTACATGAATGGACAATAGACACAGGAGCCACAAACTATATGGTAGCAGATATAGAACTACTAAATAAAGTGTCTCTAATGCAAACAAATCAAACTAAGAAAGTGCATCTACCTAATGGAGAAACTACTCAAGTCACACATATTGGAACAAGTACATTGACTGATCAAGACACTATAACTAATGTATTTTACATTCCACAGTTCAAATATAACCTATTATCTGTCTCAAAGCTAACTAAGGAATTGAAATGCTCAGTTGCTTTCTTCCCTGATTTTTGTATATTTCAGGAACTCTTCAGTGGGAGGGTGAAAGCGATTGGTAAAGAAGACAGTGGTTTATACATACTCAGCAGACAAAAAATATCAGAAAATAATGCATTTAGTCTAAATAGTAAGGAGACAGAAATCAATAAAGAAGTTAGTCCAACTGAGATTGAACTTTGGCATAGAAGGCTTGGACATGTATCTGCTAGTATTCTCAAGAAATTATTCCCTACTAATACAACAGACATTTCTGCTAGAATAGATCTATGTACTACATGCCCCTGTGCAAAGCAAATAAGGCAGCCTTTTCCTATTAGTAGTATAAAAACAGTTGGTAGCTTTGAGTTAGTTCACATGGATGTATGGGGTCATTTCCTACTGTGAATGGAAATAATTTTTTTCTGACAGTTGTAGATGATTTTTCTAGAATGACATGGATTTTCTTACTGAAATTGAAGTCTGATGTTTGTGTACTTATACAGCAGTTCTTTGCTTTTGTCAAAAATTATTTTGGAATAACGATTAAAACAGTAAGAACAGATAATGAGACTGAACTTGTTAACTCAACTTGTGAAATTTTTTTCAAAAGTTTAGGAGTGATACATCAGAAAACATGTCCTTATACTCCTCAGCAAAATGGAGTAGCTGAGAGAAAACATAGACATATCCTAGAACTTACTAGGGCCATAAGGTTTCAAGCTAATATACCTATGAAATTCTGGGGTTATTGTGTTCTTGCTGCAGTTTATCTTATTAATAGACTGCCTAGTTCTACTATTGAAAATAAAAGCCCATATGAAAGAATGTACAATAAAAAAACCTTCCTTACAGCATCTTAAAGTTATAGGATGTCTGTGTTATGCAAAAATAGTCAATCAAAATATCAAATTAATGCCTAGATCAAAACCTGCTATACATATGGGGTATGCCACAACTCAAAAAGGATATGTTCTATATGATCTGATAGACAAAACCTTCTTTGTAAGTAGAGATGTGCAATTCAGAGAATACATATTTCCATTCAAGAACAAACAAGACAATAATAAATCTATATTTGTTCATCCTAACACAACAGATTTACTCCTTCAACCAATTCAATTTATAGCCTCTGAAAATGATGTGTATACATATGAACAACCAAATAATACCATATCTGAAGGTACACAAGAAAACACTCAGCAGTCTGATAATACACTAGTAGAATGTAATCAGAATAATAGTCAACAAGCTCCAATTATACAACACAATGATCAAAATTCACAAACAATAAATGTAAGAAGATCAGAAAGAGGAAAGAAACCACCTATATGGATGAAAGACTTTGTGTCTTTAACTGCTCATCAAGATGAACCCTATGGCTTATCAAAACACATAACCTATGATCACTTAACTAATAAATATCAAGCATACTTAACAAAAGCTTCAAATATAACTGAACCGACTCTATATTCTGAAGCTGTAAAGGATCCTAAATGGATAGAAGCAATGAAAGCAGAAATTGAGGCTTTACAGAATAATCATACATGGGATATAGTCACTTTGCCTTCTGGAAAAACACATATTGGGTGTAAATGGATATATAAGATTAAATACAAAGCTTCTGGGAAAATAGAAAGGTTTAAGGCTAGATTAGTAGCTAAAGGCTTCAGTCAAAAAGAGGGAATAGACTATCAGGAAACTTTCTCTCCTGTTATTAAGATGAAGACTGTAAGAACTATCCTAGCTATAGCTGCCACTAAACAGTGGCATATACACCAAATGGATGTATACAATGCCTTTTTACAGGGTGATTTATTAGATGAGATCTATATGCAATTACCTCAAGGATTTACAAGTCAGGGGGAGAATAAGGTATGTAGACTTGTTAAATCCCTATATGGCCTAAAACAAGCCCCTAGACAATGGAATGCTAAACTAACAGAAGCATTAATGAATATTAAATTTCAACAAAGTCAACATGATCAATCCCTGTTCTTTAAGAAAACAGTAGAAGGTATTACAATGGTCTTAATCTATGTAGATGATATGTTGGTAACTGGTGACTCTCTAAAACTAATAGAGGAGACAAAAAATCATTTACAACAGTCCTTCAAAATGAAAGACCTAGGTGAACTTAAATATTTTCTAGGCATAGAGTTTGCTAGATCAGAACAAGGGATCCTTATGCATCAAAGGAAGTATGCTTTGGAATTGATTTCTGAAACAGGTCTAGCAGCTGCCAAACCTTCTATAACACCTATTGATACAAATATGAAACTAACAACAACTGAGTATGATGAGTATCTAAAAAGAACCAACTCAACTACTTATATAGATGAAGAACTAGCAGATTTAAACTCTTATCAAAGATTGATAGGCAAATTGCTATACTTAACAATGACTAGACCAGATATCTCATTCGGTGTTCAAACACTAAGCCAATTTCTTCAAAAACCAAAGAAGTCACATATGGAAGCTGCCTTAAGAGTTGTCAGATATGTCAAAGCCAGTCCAGGACAAGGTATTCTATTGTCAAGCAAGCTAAACAATACCATTTCAGCATACTGTGATGCAGGCAGCTTGTCCAATTTCAAGAAAATCAGTTTCAGGCTATCTAATCAAGCTTGGAGATTCTCTAATATCATGGAAGTCCAATAAACAAACTACTGTTTCCAGAAGCTCTGCAGAAGCTGAATACAGAAGTCTAGCTACAACTGTTGCAGAAATTATTTGGTTAATTGGTCTGTTGAAGGAAATAGGAGCTGAAATAAAATTACCAGTTGAAGTATTCAGTGACAGCAAAGCAGCAATCCAAATTGCTGCAAATCATGTTTATCATGAAAGAACAAAGCATATTGAAATCGACTGCCACTTCATCAGGGAAAAAATCATGCAAGGACTCATCAAAACAACCTACATGTGTACCAAGGAGCAGCCAGCAGATATATTAACTAAGGGCCTCAACAAAGCGCAGCATAGATATCTATCTTCCAAGCTAGGTGTTCTTAATGTATTCTCAATACCTAGCTTGAGGGGGGTGTAGAGAAAGATGTAACATAAAGAAAGAGGGTAACTTAGTAATTTCACATAGTCAGGTTATTAGTTAATTAACTATCAATCCTAGAGTTAGTTAAGCTGAAAAATACCGACTTAGTCTAGTTAAGCTCAATTAGTTATAAGGTTAGCTTATATATATATATATCCTACACACACATATTTAAATCAATTTTTGAAGTAATAAAATTTCTCTCTCTAAGACTAGAACATTCGTTCTTCTCCTTCTTCTCTCTTCTCTACTTCTTCTCTCTTCATCTGTTTCATTTCTTCTTATCGTTCATATACTATACAAATTGATCTAGCATAATTTCACTATATAGTGCTAATCAGTGTAGTGTTATTTAGTTTCACATTAGATTTGACATAGAAAAATACGTCAATTGAAGCATAATTAACATTGCGATATTAATAAGGGGACTAAACATAGAAACCGATACTGTATTTTCAACTTTAATTGAAAATAGTTTTATCAAGTATTATTGTCATCTTGCCTCTCGTATTACTTGTATTTGCTGTGTGAATTTAGCACTTATTAGTTTTCGAAGAAAAGATAAATGTTAAGGCGACAGTTATAAAAAGTAAATATATAGACTATACACTGATAATGTAGGAAATTTTTGCCCTATCAATATACTTAATCTGCTATGGTATGTTACTAACCATTTATTTTAGGTTAATAATCAATGCTTAGTGACTAGAATTAGAATTCGATATTCACCTTTTGATTGATCTGATTGTATATTTTTTTTTTTCTTATGTCATTGGCATTTAGCATTTTGAACTAAATCAATCACCAAAGGGGCATAATTAAGTGCAGAATGCAAATGCTCAAGATGATTTTGAAAGACATAATGTAAAGAGAACTCATTAGAGCTCTCGTCATGTGATTTATAGAATCATCGGAAGATTTGTGTAAAAATTAATCATCACAAGGCCTACTTTGAGGCGTGGGATAAGGATTAAAATAGTATTGCATTCAAAGACAGGATGATCGTTCTAAGCCTAATCACCGAGCATTATCCTATTGACCAAATTAATCAACTAGTGAAACGAGAAATTGGATGTTACTTTTCCTGTGATGTAGAAAATGGCCAAAGAGCTGTGAATTGGATTGTATAGATGAAATAAATTTGTTTGGGGGGGGGGGTGGGGGGGGGACCTTCCAATCCAAATTACTCGCCTACGCCAGTTTCTAGGTAGAGTGAGATTTCATTTCACAACGTCCACACAAAAGCTTTTCTGCTTCATCCCCCACCCCAAAACCCCTTCTCTCTCTATCTTTTTTCTTTTTCTCTCTCTCTCTCTCTCTTTAGAACTGTGTCTGTTCTTTTAACGTATTTTTCTTTCTTCATTGATTGAGCTGTATACCCAAGTACAATTACCCAGCAGATCTGAGTTCTGATACCATGGGTCACTCCCCCCTGAGGAATCCTATGTCTTTCCCTCTACGCTTTCTTCTTTCCCTCTTCTCCCCTTTTCTAAGTATTGACTAAATTGCCTCAACTTCCACAGATCTGAGTGTCTTCCATTGGCATTTTCCTTTCATTTCAAAATTCATCATTTTTTTATTCCTTTTTCCGGTCTCCAAGATATTTGTCACGAATCTCTATAACGAAGTTTCCAATCCTTAGATTCCCAAAATAAGAAGTTCCCCATTTCAGTTCCGTGCCTAAACTTCTTCATTGATTTTTGGTTTTGCCTGCTATCTAACTGAACTTTAACATTTGAATGGAAAGCGCCGCTGGTGGCAGCGGCAACAGTAGTAGTCTAAGAACATTGATGTTCAATGATAAAATCGATACTCCTAACCTCGGAGACTTCCTCAGAGTCAAAGAAAACAACAATAATATTACAGCAGGTCTTACGTTAGGCGCTGTGTTGAGCAACAAACCAGAATGTTCTACTTCTTCTTCCCCTGTCCATTCCTCCAACAGAACTCTTCTTGATATCATTCAAGAGGATCCTAACAGCAGCAGAAAAACCCGAAAAACTTGGAAACATTTCAGAAACAAACTCCGTCTTAAACGTGCTGCCGACACATGGACTTCTAACATTTCCATTCAACAGGGTAATAACAATCCGATAGTTATGTCTCGTAGGCTGTCCCCTCGATCACCTCCTCCCCTTGATGATGTTACTTACCCAGAGGACCTGCCCGTTGAAAATTTCGGTCAGCCGGAGATTTCTGCATCTGGGTCACAAAGAATATTGCGAAGAATTTCGAGCAGAAATGAAACTGCAGAAGAGGAAGAAAGTGAAGGGGAAAATGCCGGAGGAGATGAACCGGTGAGGATGTCATTAATGGCGTTATTAGCAGAGAATGATGGAGATGGGTCAGCCTATATGATAGGAGATGGAGATGGAGATGAAGAAGATGACGATGATGAGGAAGAGGTTGATGATAATGGAGTTTCCGGCGCCGGCGACGGCGCCGGTGTCGGTGCCGTCGGAGAATATAACAATTGTTGTGTGTGTATGGTGAGACATAAGGGTGCTGCGTTCATACCATGTGGACATACATTTTGCAGGTTGTGTTGTAGGGAGCTTTGGGTTCAAAGGGGTAATTGTCCTCTCTGCAACAATTTGATTTTGGAAGTTCTCGACATTTTCTGATCAATTTGAACCATTTCAACTTCGACAGCTTCAATATTTAGCCTTTTAATTTATTTTCTCTTCTTCTTGGTTCCCCCAGCTTGTTTCAATGTTGCATCATTACATTTGTCTCTATATCCTTTTCTGAATTAGCCCAATTTAGTGGCTTTGTGAATTAGTGATTATTAGCTAGTGATTATTAGTCAGGCATGAATAGGATAATGGTCCTTGCTATCCTTTGTTTATATTGTACCTCTGTCTTGTATGGACTAATATTCAAAGTATGAGTACAAAAACAGAGAAGAAACAAAGGTCTTATTTGGGATCACATGGATATTTTTACTTTACTCTCGTATATGAATTGTGGAATTGTCTTTCTCTTGCTTTCTGCTTTCTGGAAGTAGGAAAAAGTCACCGGAGAATAGCTGTCAAGCTTGTATTGAGAAGGACTTGACAACTAGTCCAGATAGTGGGACCGTTAATAATGTCTTACTCCTAATGCGGGAGAGATTCCACTACGTGCAACCCAACATGTAATTATTTGTGACAAATCCCCCCACGAACTACCTTATGGTATCTTAAAGATATTTTTCTTTTAGGGTGTGTTTGGTATAAGGGTGTTAAACGGGTGGGCCGGGCCGGGCTGGGTTGGCTTTTTTAGACCCGTATGGGTTATGGTCCGGACCGGTTACGGGTTGGGGCTTAACGGGTTTAATGGGTTCGGGTTCATCCGGGTAAAAAATGAACCGTAAGGATTACGGGTTGAGGGGGGCGGGCCGGGTTTAGTGTATTTTTAATTTTTTTTTTGTATTTTGTATAACTATTGTAAGTTATATTAATACTTTGTATTAATATAAAGAATACAAGGAAAATGGAAAAAAATTGTACTTATAAATTGCAAGTGCTACATTTTTTTCAAAATTAAAGTTTGCATTTAAAAAGTAAATTAATATCTTATGTATTTTTATTGTGTACTAAAATATATTTAATGCCTATCTTATGTATTTTTACATTGTATCAAGTTGTTTATTTGATGTATATTTATGATTTGAGCATTTATACCCTAAATATATACACTATATTTTTTATAACCTAGGATCCGGTATTTTACCTTATATAATACTCCTATATGATTTAAATTATATTTCTTTCATTTTAAATACGTATAAAATATATACGCAGGGTATAATCAAGACTTATAAAATATATACTCAAAGCAATTTTCACTGTAAATCATACAAAAAAGTGACAAAAGTATTCCACTATTATTACATGTATCATACATTCATACTTGCAAATTATTTGTATGATATATATGTTAAATTCTAACAATTTTAAATTATGTTAATTAGTATACAATAATTGGTATATTCATGGTATGTGTAAGATATAAAATATTTATACTAGAATATACCACTATTATGTTTTTAAAAATTAGACAAGTATGTAAAGCTCCCAAAAAAAATTTAAAAAAAAAATTACCATTAAACCGGTCTGGGCCGGTCCGGGCCGGGCCGGTTAACCGGTTTAACGGCACTGTTCATTTAACCACTTTTACCGGTCCGGGTAACCGGTATTTAAAAAGTAAACGGAGCAACCCGCGCGGCCCCCCTAACCCAGCCCAGCCCAGCCCCCTTTAACCGGTCCGGGCCGATTCCGGTTTTAACCGGTCCGGGCCGGTCCGGAACCGGCTGACCCGGCCCGTTTAACACCTATAGTTTGGTATAATGAAAAATGTTTTTCAAGAAAATGTATTTTTGAAAAATAAGTAGTAATTTTATTCATTTTCCGGTGTTTGGTATGCAAAGTAAGGAAAATGACTTCTCAAGAGTATTCATAAATAATTTAAGATATAATAAACATGAAGTCATAAACTTTCAAACCAACAACCTTTCGAATCCACATTTTTCCATAAATTTTTCGCTAAACTTTCGAAACCGCGGAATTTCTAACCCGTAAATTTTATAATTTCTAAACCTATAAACTTCCAAACACATAAACCTCCAAACTCATAACTTTGGAACTTGTAAAATTTTGAACCTTTAAACCGATAAATAAAAAAATAAAACTGAAAAATATAATAAAAATTATTTTTGGGGGGGAGGGGGAGGGGACGCAGTTAGGGGGGTGGATGGTGCAGAAAAACGAAAAACCAAAATTTGAAATATATATATATATATATATATATATATATATATAATATTATATATATATATATATATATATTTTTTTTTTTTTTTTTTTTTTTTTTTTTTTTTGCGGGAGGGAGTTGGGGGTGGGGTGGGGTGGGGATGGAGGGGTAGTAGGAGTGGTGTGGTATCAGAAAAACTAAAATTTGAAAAAAAAAAAAAAAAAAATTTTTTGGTGAGAGGGGGTGGGATGGGTTGGTTAGGGTCGGAAAGGTTGAGAAGGAGTTTTGGAAAATATTTTCCCTTCTCTTGATAAGGAAAATATTTTCATCCAATTGGAGGAAAATGAGTTCATAAGGAAAATGTTTTCCAAACATTTAACCCAACCAAACATGGGAAAATTGAAAAACATTTTCCACAAAATATTTTCCTTCATACCAAACACACCCTTAATTTTAACATTTAGGTCGATTGGGCTAGTAAAGGAAATTTTAAAGGTGACTTCTGCTCGTACATTAATTGGCGCAGGATGAAACTGTAATCACTATACTGTTAGCTTCTATCCTTCTGATTAGTTTAATGCTTATGAAGATCAACAGAAAATAAAACGGGAATTAAGCCGTTGTAACTTGTAACCATTAATCAGCAGGTCTTTGCAACCTTAATTTGCTTCTCACCTTCGATGAGGTTCTGGTAGTCATCTTAATGGTGAAAGGTGCCGGCCAATCATTAACGATTGTTAAAGATCAAATTGTAAGATAAACTAGTTTTATCATCCAATGAAGCAGCGCCAGATGATGTGAAATACCAGATGCTTTAACATATTCAGTAGCTAATTAGGTATTGGGTGAGGAGTTGGTCAACCATCATTAATGCCATCCTCCTATAATGGGTTCACATTTATTAAGTTACCAATTTATTGCAAGTTTACTCAACGTATGTGCTTTAAATTTGATATCAAGAGTTGTTGCAATATAATACAGACTAATTACATAACATAAATAATTATTATAATTCTCGAATACTTTTGTTGACACAAAGGTTGCCCAACTTTGCTGAGGGTAGGGCTAGGCTACTGCTTCAACAGTCTATTTCTGTTTGTCTTGGCTTTCTATGACCACCAGATCCAAGCAACCAGCCGTGGAACTAGTGGTATCTCAGTTAGGATGTGTTTCAGCATTTGTAAGATGTTGATGTTTTATCATTACGAAGGTCTGAAATATAATTAGGCAAAGTGAGATGCAGGACACATATTCAGAGTAAACTCTGATAATTGCTGATGGAAAGTGAAAACTATTTGGAAGCCAACGTCTAGTACTGAAAACTAATACTACTAACATCCATACGTATCCCCCATTTAGGCAGATGGGAGAGTAATAACCACCAAGTTAATAATTAGGAACAAAAGCGCAGCAGCATCAAGCATCATTGCCTCCAGTTTGATGTAGCATAGCATCGATTTCATCACCCTCCTCCATCTCAAGCTATTTCAACAATTGTAGAAAAGAATGTGAGATAAATATAAGTTGGTTAAACAAGACAAGTTGTGTGAAGTGTTTCAATACCTCATCAGGAGTTTGCTCTCCCTTAAGCCTGCGGCCATCAAATAAGAATGCAATTGAGTTCATGTCAACTGACTGACGGTCACAGTAAGCATTCATGAGCTTGCGCAACTGTGTGTTACGCTTGATCCTGAAAAACACTTCATTTCCATCCTACATGCAAGAATTGATGGAGATTACCAATGAAAAGAAACACAATTCAATATGAAAAGGACTCCTCAATTCCATCTTCTCAAACTCTCTTCCTTGTTTTTAGGTTGAGGGAGGGCACAAACTATGGCAAAAGAATGCCAAACAACGCAATACTAAGAAGCAAATGTTTGAAAAAGTGCACATTGGGGCCACATAACATTACAACTCAACAACTCACAACCACGTTATTTAACAATGAGAGGAAAAAAGAAAGGGAGAGAAATAGGTCAAGTGCAGTTTGCTGCGTCGGAGTCTACATTCCGTGCTATATACTCCTGGTTAGTATGGAAAAGATCTTGCTCAGTAATTATATAACCATGGAAGCAAAATTCTATAAACTAAGCACTAAAGCAAAGATGATATAGGCACCACTGAGGTCTGAGGCAGAGAGGCCTCTCTAGCTACTATGAAATACATCCAACTAGACTATATTATCGGTCACATTCTAAGGTAAGATTCAAGCAATCAATGATCTTGGCCCTGGGACGGAGGCCAGGTTAATATAGACGAGCACAATAATGATTACACTTATTTCCCTCAAGAGTAAATGTGTTGACTATTACTATTACCACAATATTAACAACCACAGAGCACAGCCATCAGAAAGCGTTTAAGCAATTTATCCAGCACAAGAGGGTCTAGAAAAAGAGAAGGCTACATTATCCGAATTGAAAAAAAAAAAACATTGAATGTGCAATGCTCCAAAAAAATATTGCCTATACCATTGACACTCATCATGAGGATAACAGAAGATCACTTTGAAGTTTGCAACAAAATACTAATACATGGAGGGTTTCTTTTTATTTTTCTTCTTGGTTTTATGGTAAGTAAAAGTATTAACTAATACAATGTGGTTGTGTTAAGTGAATCTACTTTCCCTTAATTATGGTTTGAGCGTTGGATGCATGTTTTCATCCATAGACCGACTGACCCATCGCTGAGGTTTTCTAAACAGCGTTAGCAGTAGAAGGTAAACAACAAAATCAAACACCATTCCGGTCATCACAGAATAGACTGTGTCAGAAGATATGTCTGCCCCCACACTGAGTGCCCTCTTCCAAATACCAGTAGAAGGTAAACAACAAAATCAAATACCATTCCGGACATCACAGAATAGACTGTGTCGGAAGATATGTCTGCCCCCACACTGAGTGCCCTCTTCCAAGTCCTATCTCTACAGCAAAAGATACTGTCTTCCTCGTGGTCACACACAAGCCCAGTACTCCCACACTTAGCATACAATACTTCTATCCTCCAGCATCCTATTGACATGTTGTCCAATTAATACCAAGAACCCTTCCATGTCCAAGGGAAAATTCTTATTATCCAGATTCCGGACAGACTATAGAGTCAGATCATTTCTTACATGGAAATCAAAGAAAGGTAGAGCTAACCTGGGCAATAAAACCTGTATATTACTCAAGAATGCAGCTTAGCATGTATATTGAACAGAGCAGATATAAACAGACATAAAAAAGAATATTTGAAAATTTACTGGAACTAGTAATTTATGAGCATGAAATGGAACAGAATGAGACCCAAAGGGAAAGAACAAAAAAGAAGGTGAGGGAAGAAAATTTAGTGGTGAGCAGATAAACTGTAGAATCAACAAATTAAACTGAACAAAAACATGTTTCTTTTATAAGTTGGGAGCTTACAGTTTTCAACTTGTAAAAATAATCATTATGAGGGTTTCAATTAGGTTTTATGTAACTGCCCAATGTTAACCACACAGATTCATAACATACCACAGTAAAAAGAAAAAGAAGAGGGTCACTAAGGTTTGGATTACTTCCATCCCACTCATTATTCATTCCATGTCTTGCTTATATACATGACAAACATTACCAAAGAGGTACAAATAATGGTATAGGGGGCAAGAAGAGATCCAAACTGTATTTTTCCATTTATGTACAGTAAGTTGTGATCTACACCAACACCTAAGTATGTGGCCTAGTGGTCAATAAGTGGAAGAAGAACCATAAGGTTTCAAGTTTATACCCCAACGGAGGCAAAAAACACCAGACGATATCTTCTCATCTTTTAAGCCTTGGTGAGTAAAGTTGTCCGGTACCTATATTGGTGGGAGATAGCATGTACCCGATAGAACACTAGAGGTTGGCGCAAACTAACCCGGACACTACCTTTACAAAAAAAAAGGTTGATCTGCACCAGGTATGAAATATTATAGTAAGAGCTTTATTAATCCATATTCAAAAAATTTGGTCTGCTCACACTGCCCAGACCAAGGGCCGGCTCCATAGTTATGAGGGGTAAGGCTTGAGCCTTAGGCCCCAAATTTGGAGGGCCCCATTTTTAAAAAATTATAAATTCATAAGTATTTAAAGAACTTTTAATACAAAAATAGAGTTTTTAATATAAAAGGAAAGAAAACTTTTTAGATATATAAATGAGGTAATAATTTGACTTACTTAAAAATGGGTAGAAGAATAGTCTTTCCAACATTTCAGTTCTCCACTCTTTACTCCTTCATTAAAAAATTTGCCCGCTCTTCCTTAATTTGTCCAAGTTAATCTTTCTTTTTTCTAATCACTTTATATTTCAGAAAATCCTACATATTTTCTGTCTTTCTTTTTGATATTCTTAGTCACTTTCTTTCTCCAAAATTTCATTACTCACCTTCTTTCTCAAAAATTTTATTAGTTAAAGTGTTCAACAATACTTTTAAGTTTCCAGTAGTTCTATACTTCTATTGCTCTAAAATCTTATCTAAGGTCAACAAAATCTCAAGAAAAATTAAATGAGTTGGTTATATTATCAATAGAATATGAACTATTAGAGAAAGTCGATTATAAAAAAAAATTATTAACAACTTTGTATCTCAAAAAGTTAGAAGAATAGACTTTAAATAAAAACATATCTTATAACTTTCTTTTAAAAATTTATAACTTTCTTTTAAAAATTTATGCCTCACACAAAATTATGGCTTTAGGCCACGTATGTGCTTGAGCCTCCCCTGCCAGACCTTCTACCAACTCCCGAGTTTTCCTCAGCTTTTACATGGTAATTTGTTTGGTTTTAAACTTTAAAAAAATACAGCAAGAATCAAGATATGGCTCGATGTTGGTTTTTCTGCAAAACAAATCTACCCAAAACACCGTACGTACCCTCGTAAGGTAAATCACAGTTTACAGTGCACAACACCCCCACCAGTGCGTGCAGAAACATGAAATCCATCAGCCCGATTAACTTCATGATTATGTATCATTGAACCACATGCATATTCAAAGGAATCATGGATTAATAGAACTGCATCTTTTATCAGTGTAAAACTGCTCGACTACACGAGTTTTTTCATCATTGCCGAAAACAAACATAATCACAAGAACTATCCTGAGAACGAAAATCACAGCTGTATGCGAGCATATGCACATGAAAATCAACACAGAGGGAAGTAAAGAGATAAAAATACATGTTAGTCGATAATGAGTATACCTGACCCTTAACCTTCAGATTGATATGAACCGCCTGATCGTTAGGCTTCTTCTCTTCCTCTCCTGCGCCACCACTACCGCCGCCGCTAGCCGACATGATGATCACGCTTATACTATTGTTGTTCCGCCGAGGGTTTTCTTTTTACACTGAGAATCAAAGCAAAAAAACCTCTTGAGTTGAGAAAATACCCAAAGGGCTCCTTTAATACGCTCAGCGCTTCCTTTTCGCCACGCGCAGAGAAACAACTGTGAAGGGTATTATATTATAGGAAAATAGATAAACAAAACGCGTCGTAATCTATTTACCTGTGACGTGGCTATAGATAGACGCGAGTGAGGAATTTTGTTATGAACCTGAGAGTGGGAAAGCAGTATAAACTATATTCAATATATATTTGAATTCCGCGGTGAAATGGAAAAAACGAGGGAATCGATGATCATGACCAGGAAAAGAGGAGAGCGCCGAATGAACGGTCAGGATAGGTGCAAGAAAGAATCTGACGGCTTGGAAGGGAAATGCGCTTGGAATTTTGTACTCCACTGCAGTTTGCCAATTGCAAAAAGGTTCAAATCGATCTTATAGCCCGTTTGGCCAAGCTGCAAAAATCAGCTTATTTTGAGAAGTGCTTTTTTTTAAAAGTGCTTTTTTCAAAAGTATTTTTGGTGAGAAGCAGTTTGTATTTGGCTAATTAGTTTGAAAAGCACTTCTGAGCAGCAATTAGTGTTTGGCCAAGCTTTAAAAAACTGCTTCTAAGTGTATTTTTCTCAAAAGTGCTTCGCAAAAAAGTACTTTTGGAGAGAAGCTACTTTTTTCTGCTTCTCCAAAACTGCTTCTGCTTCTCCTCAAAAGTACTTTTTTCCCTTCCAAAAGCTTGGCCAAACACCTCAATTTTTGGCCAGAAGTGCTTTTGGCCAAAAAAAAAAAAAAAGCACTTTTGGCCAAGAAGCTTGGCCAAACAGGCTATTATTTCTTCCTTATCCATGGTCGGTGACGGACCAATGGATATTGTCATTTAGGAGTGTTCATAAAAATCCGAAAAATCGAACTAAACCGAAAACCAGACCAAACCGATCAAAAAAACCGATACTTTTTGGTTTGGTTTGGTTTCGGTTTTGAATTTTAAAAATCGATCAAATTTGGTTTGGTTTTGGTTTTAATCAGAAAAAAAACCAAACCAAACCGACTATAGGAGTAGCTGTTTCAAATTTATTATTACACCTATATATATATATATATATATATATATATATATATATATATATTTTATATATAAAGTTTCAAAAATTTAATGGTAAATGTTAATAGTTTGCACTTTTAGTATAGTTCTTTACCTTTACTTTCTAGTTTGATTGGTAGTTTTCTTTTGTTAAGTGTAAGAATCCATTTCGTGTTAAAAAAAATATATTTTTAATTGAGTCCTTAATTTTTCATCACTATTTGATTCAATTATCATCAATATATCTTGGTAAATAATAGATTTCTCAAAGGGAAATTGATTTGATAGTGTTACGTTAAAAATGTAGTCTCCGGAATATGTGTTTGGTAGTGGATGTCTTATATTTAAGAAAAAACCGATAAATAACCGAAAAAACCGACATAAACCGAATCGAGAAAAAACCGACTTAATTGGTTTGGTTTGGTTCTAATATTTGAAAAACCAACTTTCTTGGTTTGGTTTCTTTTTAGGGAAAAACCGATCCAAACCGAACCATGAACACCCCTATTGTCATTAATTAAGAAAAAAAAGAGCATGGAAGATTTTATGGCTCTAATTATGGCTAAAATCTTTATCTGCTTCCTATGTTTATGACAAATTAATAAATACAAAAACAATTTACTATATTTTATATATGTATTTATCACTTTATCAAAGTTAAGTGGTATACATTCTTAACTTTTAAATTTCAACTTTTAATATGCTAATATTAAATTGCTTGATTTGATATAAATGTCAAGTTTGAGTAAGTATGTAACGACCCGACTGGTCGTTTTGCTTTTTAGAACCCCGTTCCCCTAGATAAGACTTCCCGTACTTGCTTTCACTGATTTATGACTTGCGGGAATGTTGGTTCGGGATTTGGAAGAGTTTGGGTTGAAATCGGAACACTTGGTTCCTCAAGGTTGGATTAAAAGGCCAAGTTTGACTTCGGTCAACGTTTTGAGTAAAAGACCTCGGAATCCGGATTTAAAGATTCCAACGGGTTAGTATGATAATTTCGGACTTGGGCGCATGTCCGGATCGGGTTTTGGATGACCCGGGAGCGTTTTGGTGCCTAATAGTGAAAGTTGATTCCTTAAGGATTTTGAAGTTCTTAAATATTTGGTTTGGAGCGGGTTTTTGTGTTATCGAGGTCCGAACGGAGTTCCAAGATCGGGGTTAGTTCCGTATTGCCATTTAAGACTTGCACGCAAAATTTGGTGTCAATCCGAGTAGCATAAGTGTGTTTCGCCGCATTGGAAGTAAATTGAAGAACTTGAAGTTCATAAGTTCGATTCAATTGGTTTTAGGGGGTGATTCTTAGATTTAGCGTTGTTTCGGGCGTTCCGAAGGTTCGAGCGAGTCCGTTTTATGATTTTAAACTTGTCGGTATGCCCCGAGCGTCAATCGGACGAGGCTCGAGTGAAGTTGGAAAATTTTGAAATGAGCTGAAGATCCAGTCTTCTGTCATAACCGCACCTGCGGTTGGTCAGCCGCAGGTGCGAGACCGCAAAAGCGGTCGTGCTCTCGCAGAAGCGGCCAAGGCAAGCCAAGCCCAAAGCTGCAGAAGCGATTTTCTCCCCGCAGTAGCGGCCCAGTTGAATTTCCGTAGAAGCGGACACTTTTCCGCAGATGCGGTGGGCGCAGGTGCGGCCTAGGACCGCAGATGCGGAAATCACTGAAGCAGTGACCCTTCATTTATTTGCGGGTGTTAGCCATTTTTGGCTCATTTCCACTCATAAGTTGGGCGATTTTGGGGCTCTTAAGAGAAGATTTTCACCTAGCATCTTGAAGTAAGTTATTCCTACTTATTTTTGAGTTTAATACTTGGGTTTTGGGTAGATTAACACACAAAGAATAGTGAAAAATCATGGGATTAGAGTAAAACTAGGATTATGATAAAAATAAGATTTAATCACGAAATTTGTTATGGAATAAAATAGAAATCATATATTCTTGATCCTTAGGTTATAGAGAACAACTTTCTTCAAGAATTTCTGGAATCCAGGCACGTGGGCCCGAGGACGAATTTTAGGAAACTTGTGTTTAGGGTTGGGAAGTTACTTTAATAGTTAGAATGCGAACTTGTGAGCTTGTATTGACTATTTCTTACCTCGTTTAATTAGTTTTGGATCATTCGGCTCCAAATTGAGGGTTTGAGCACGTTCTTGATATTGGAAGTACGCTTTGGAGCGAGGTGAGTCTCCTTTCTAACCTTGTAAGAGGGAATTGTCCCCATAGGTGAAATAATTGAATAATTTGCCACTAAATGCGGGGGCTACGTATGCACTAGGTGACGAGAGTCCATGCGTAGCCACTATTATGCTTAAGTCCGGGTAGTCTAGGACCCAAAAGCATGCTTTATGTGATATTCTTGTAACTTTATGGTCAATTTGGATTGCTTAAATCATGTTGAGTGTGGTAAATGAATTTATAAAGAGGAACTTCATTTTCTTGACCTCTTAAAGAGAAGCTGACATTCTTTGAATAATTGCTTCCCTGATATATCCCTGTCTGACTGTTTGTTGTGTTTAATTATAATTGACCGCGTCGCACGTATGATTCGCGAGCGGGGTAATAGATGCATCTATGGTTCGCGCCGTTCGACCCTCCAGCAGTGCACACTTTATTTTTATGTTGGATCGGGCCGTACGACCTCGGCACTAATGCGCATGCTTCTTGCTCGGTATTTTTCTGTGAATTGAACTTTGTTAAATGCCCTGAAATGTAAATCGCTAACTGCGATATTATCTAGGAAAGGACCTATCACTTCTTGCTATAAATTGTTATTTATTTGTGACATCCATGCTTAGCATAACACTTTCTTATATTATTTGACCCTAGTAAGTGTCAAGTCGACCTCTCGTCTCTACCTCTTCGAGATTAGACGGGATACTTACTGGGTACATATTATTTATGTACTCATACTACGCTTCTGTACTTAATTGTACAGGGTCTGAGGCAGGTACATCTGGCTACCAGTCTGGTGTGCATTCTTGATAGTAGGCCGAGATTTCCACGGTGAGTTGCTCCCTTCCTAGGCCGTTCAGCAGCATGATGGAGTCTCTCTTTATTTTTGGACTGTCTATTCTATTTCAGACAGTAGGATAGATTTATTATTTTTGTATATTCTACTAGATGCCCATATTCTTGTGACATCGGGTCTTGGCACACACGTTGGTAGACATTCCTTTTGGGGTTGTATAAGTATTACTTTCCATTGTGAAACATCATTTGTTTCAAATTCCAAATTAAGAAAAATGCTGGACTTGTTTGGTAAAGTAAAATGAGAACTCACTAATATTTCAAGCGTTGGCTTGCCTAACAACGGTGTTGGGCGCCATCACGATCTGTAGTGAAATTGGATCGTGAGAACATGGTATCAGAGCACTAGGTTCACGTAGGTCTCACAAGTCATGGGCAAACCTAATAGAGTCTTGCGGATCAGTACGGAGACGTCTGTATTTATCTTCGGGAGGCTATAGGGTGTTAGGAAACTACGCTTTATTCATTTCCCATCGTGCGGTGGTCGGCATACAAAATTTCCCTCTCCTATTCTCTCACAAATGGTGAGGACGCGCACGACAGATGTTCCAGACCCGGGAGGAGCTGCTCCCCCGTTGCTAGAGGCTGACGCAGAGTCCGGGGGAGGGCACCGGCCCGAGGTAGGGGACGAGGGCGTCCCCGAGCTATTCCAGTAGCACCACCGACGGATCCTGCGGGAGATCGTATCATTGAGGAGCAGGGCGAGGTGCCCGCAGCTGAGACTACCCCGGCGGACTTCATGATAGCACCGGGTTTCCAGGAGGTCATGGGCTGTATGTTGCGATTCATGGACACCATGACTCAGGCTGGTTTATTTCCAGCGGATCCAGCTACATCACAGGCAGGGGGGAGCACAGACCCCTACTGCTCAGGCTCCTGGTCATGCAGTTATAGTGTATCAGACTCCGGGTGCACTACCCGCGGATGGGGCTCAACCAGTTGCTGTAGTAGTGCCCGAGCCCAGACCAG